AATAAAAGAGAGAGTTGTAAGGTGGGAAGATCTGACACCACACCGAAGGCGGTCAGAGCCAGCACCCATCGCCCATGGTGGTCAGCCACGTTGACAGCCCGAGGGCTGAGGAGGGACCCTCGAGAGGGTGTGATGAGGAGGCACATTACCTCCGAAGGATTCCTCCCCCCAAGCCCACAATCCAGTCTAACCATGGGAAAAACATCCGACAAGAACATCACAAGGCCCAGTAGAGGGACAGTCCGCAAAATCCCTGAGCAGTGCCAGAACCAGTGAGGCCCGAGGGCAACGAGGAGACAAGCTGGCTGTGTGTGACTGCGCCCGGGGCGGGGTCCAGGAAGACAGAAGACATGAGACAAAACTGAGGAAATTTGAACAAAGTCTGGGAAATTGGGTGCATGGAAACACTGGACTATTTTCGTAAATTTTTTCAAAAATCTAAAGTTGATTAAAAAATAAAGTTTATTTTAAAAAAGAGCTTAGTGAAGCATTACTTTACTTGGCAACTGAGCTATGCATGCCAGGCAGAGAGCGCGGTGAGCACACGGCGGGTGTTTCCCTTAAACAGATTCTCCGTGTTCCTCGGAGCTTCCAGGGCTCAGTTTGGCTGGATTGGGCTCTGAGGATTCATTGCAGCAGGGAGACAGAGGGTGGGGTAGTTGCCAAAGATGGCTACGACCTGGGGGCGGGGGCAGCTGGCAGGGTCAGCTGTCAGAGAATCTTTGACAGCGCCTGATTCTGCTGGGCAGGAAATGCCACAGAACAGGACGCGAACAAGCAGCCCGGGGGAGAGCAGCGCACCGCCAGGACAGCGGCACCCGCTCCCGGCTCTGAGAGCAGCGAGCTCCAGGCAAGTCACCAGGCCTCGGCTTTCTTATCTGTAAGATGGGCACATGGGGGGAGAAGGGATGGACTGGCCAGGGGGCATCTCCAGCTGGGCAGCTGTTGTGACGTGCCAGCCTGTAGGCTAAGCAATCTCACAACCAGCCGGCCAGGATTTATCACTGGCCCCATTTTTCAGATTAGGAAAACCAGAAATCCCAGCTGCACTGAAGCCCCAGGCCAGAAAGCAGCCAGGCTGGCTTTGCACACAGGTCCGCCCCAGAATGTGGGTCTAGAATTCTTAACTTTTGCAGGCTCCTTTCTCACGAAGGGCCTGGCCGTTCCCGATGCTCTAGGAGCGGCACTTTCATTTTCTTACGGGAGTTTGGAGCCCCGTCAAGTCCCGGATCTGGTCTTAAAATGCAGCTGAAACAAGGCGTGTGTCCTTCCCCCCAGGCAGGGGCAGCCCCACAGGCCTGGCCCGCTCCCCTCCCCTGGCAGCTCCTCGGCACTCCCCGGCCGTCTGGTCCTTCTTGCCAAGATGACAGGTTTCAGATGTTTTTTAAATTAAAACGGGTTGTTTCTGTACATCTCTTTTCCAGATGTCACTACCTAGAGGGACTCTGTCTTTATTTATTGGCTCTTTCCTGTGCAGAATCCAAGGGAGTCTTTCCAGCCAAGACCCCTGGGAAGGAAGCCACATGTGGGGGTGGTAGGAACATGGGGACCCCTGGGTTCAGGACCAGGGTCATGGTGGAAACCTGGAGGCAGGAGTGCCATTAGGGTGTCCCCCCAGACATGTGGCACACGTGCTGTTAAGGTGAGGGAGTGCTGGGCAAGCTGCTCTCTGGCTGGCTGGGAGGGGGCAACGTGTGCAGGGCGAGGCGGCTGTGCCTGTGTCTCTCACGTGGCCAGCTCCAGCAAGCAGAGTGTCCATACCTACCAGACGGTGGCCTGAGAGCCTGATGGGCTGGGGCCGGGCTTGCGCCACAACAGAAAGATTCCCCTCCCCCTGCCTGTCTTCTCTCTATCCCAAACTTAGGCCTCAGCCCCCGGGGGTTGCTGCGGCCTTCCCAGCAGTCTTCCCAGAGCACCCTGCCTCCCGCTGGTCCTCAGTGACACTCTGAAGAATCTTTCAAAAACGAAATCTGGGGCCTTCATGGTTGCGCAAGGGATTAAGCACCACACTATGAGGCAATCCACAGGCACTGCAGCACAAGTTTGATCCCCGGCCAGGGAGCTACCCACATGGCACAGCAGATCTCTCCTGTCTGCCCGCTGCTCCCCTCAGCAATGTACTTCAGTCAGTCTGCCTGTTCTGTTCCCCACTCTGTCTCTGGTGAATCATCTCACCCCCCGCATCTCTCGCCCGTACCCTAGCTCTTGTATGCATAAATAAATAAATCTTTAAAAAATAAAAATGAAATCTGAATGCAAATTGGTGCAGCCTTGATGGAAAACAGTATGAAGAGTCCTCAAAGGTTAAAACATAGAACTGCCATGTAATTCAACAAGTCCACTCTTAGGTGTCAAAAAACACTAATTTGAAAATATACACTGTGTTCACTGCAGCACTATTTACAACAGCCAAGAGAGAGAAACAACTGAAGTCCCCAGCCACAGGGAAGTGGATAAAGAAGATGTGGTACACACACAATGGGATACTCAGCTCTAGGGAAAAAAGATGAAATCTTGGCTTTTGCAACAACACAGATAGAACTTGAGGTTATGATGCTAAGAGGAATTAAGCCGGAAGGAGAAGACAAATACCGTGTGGTTTCACTTGTATGTGGGCTAAAAAGAAACAAATCAAACAAACTCAACACAACAGACAACTCTTAGACCCTGACAACAAAGTGGTGGTTACCATGGAGGACGGGGAGGGGGGTGGGGCCGGGGAGAGGCCCGAGGACTTTGGTGGTGGGTGCCCTGTGGTGTAGACACATAGGAGGCATGACACTGTACTCCCGAAACATACACAGCTTTGCAAATCAATGAAAAAAGAGGTGCTACGTTAGATAGCTATAAAATCTATATATTTGGAAATAATAAAATGATTTACATATCACAAAAAAAAATCTGAGCTGATCCCATTCTTGCATCTAACACTCCCCTTCCTCTTTCCTGTAGGGATAAAGCCCAGACTCCCTGGTCCACCCTCACCACACCTGCCTCCAAATCCTTCCACTTGCTCCCACCGCCACAGCCTGGATCGCCTCTCATTCCTCAACACACCACCATGCTCAGTCCTCGCCTGAGCCCTCTGTCCTTACCTGTCCCCCAGTGGCCCTGCTCCCCTGGCCTCCTGCCTGCAAAGCCCCGGACAGTGCCTGCTGGAGCAGCCCTCCCGCCTGATGGCCACTGTCTCTGGGCCGCTGCCCGTGCCACCCAGGGCCTCATTAGGGCAGAGTCGTGTCCTGGGCCCCTGAAGGCTGGTGCCCAGGCACAGCGATGTCTCAGCGGTGGAGACTGCCTGGCCTGACAAATGGGAGGATGGACGATGCTGATGCTGACCGCTCAGGGGCCGGACATCTGTCTTCCAGGCCTATGGCCGTAGTGAGTGCCCTGATCCCGGGTTCCCTGAACAATGTCTCCCTGGGGCTGCATCCCCAGTGTCCCCTCTGGCCCTTTACATAAGCACCATGTGCTGAGATGACAGGCCATGACTTCCCAAAGTAGATAAAACAGTTGGTCCCTGACAGTTGTCCCGGGGGGTGATTGTGAAGGCGCTGTGTGCGTGTTTCCATGACGACGTGTTTCCATGATGGATCAATTTATGGGGAGGCTCCACAGGGTTTCTGCTCCCTCTGGGTCTTCCTCCCTCCTGGAGAGGTTGGGCTGAGCAGCCAGGAGAGCCACTGAACAGGCATTTTCTAAGAGCCACAGCAGGGTGCTGGGCTGGGACTGGAGCTGGCCAGTGTCCTTGGGAGCACCCAATTCAGTGGCAGGAGCAGCCCCAGATGCAAACCACATGGCTGAGTGTGCACGGGGCCCGTGGGGGACGGAGGCTGGCTGCAGGGACTGTGGGGAAGGTGTGCCAGGTGTCGGGGAGAAGCCAACACCCACACAGAGTGAACAGGCACAGTTCATGAGGGGCAGGAGTTGGGCAAAGGGCACGTGCAACCAAAACTCAAGTGATGGGCCGGCACGAGGCCTGTCAGAGAGATGTGTGACTCCACCAGCGTGTACACCCGGCGGAGGAGACACTAGATCAACAAGACAGGAGGGCACGGTGGCCCTGGGAGTTCTTCTGAGAACTTGATACTGCAGCAGGACAGGGAGGGAACAAGGCCCAGAAGGGGGTGCATCTTATGTGGTTCAGGGAGCCCGGGGCAGTGGCCCTGGCCTCTTCCCAGAACCCCTGGGGCAGAACAGGAGTTCACAGGCATCATCTGGTCCTTTCTCCTACACACATTTCTAGCCCCTTGCCAGCACCAGAGGCACTCCCACCTGTGCAACGGGCACCATGCCTCGGGGCTGGGGGCTGGGTTTGTGCAGGGTTTTGCAAACTCATTATAGGACCCCGTGTCCCCCCATCTCCTAAGCACCCCAGCCTCCCTCCTTGAAATCCTATAGAAGGGGGTGTCTGTCCCTCTTGGGAGCAGCCCCCACATCTTGCGGGTAAGGAATGTGGCCTGGCTGCCGTCGCGGGGAAGAGAGCAGGCAGGCTGGGCCTTGAGGGGGTTCCAGATGAACCCTCTCTGGCCCAGCTGCTCCCATCCCCCTTGGCTTGGCTGAGCCCTGTCTTGCAGGGTTGCCTGTCTCTGAGTCTGCACCCCAGGTCCTGGGGAGCGGCAGAGAACACACCTCTTTGCAGTCCACAGGGGTCCTGGGTGATTCCTGGTCCACGGGGGGTGTGGGGGGGGTGCCCAGCAGCCCTCTGCAGTGGGAATCCTCACCCTGCTTTAGAGTCTACTGTGCTGAGAAGACACCAATGCCTGGTGACTCGCTGGTGGGAGAGCCAGCTGGTCACCGTGGGGCAGTGACAAGAACCCTGGCATGGGAGTCATGCTTGGCTGGGAGCTCGTTTCCCTCTGGGCCTCAGGTTCCCCACATATGCTATAAGGGCTTGGGGAGATCCCTGGCCGGCCACCCCTGAACTCTGCCTTCCTATGACTTCAGGCCCCACAGTGTCTCCAGCCCTGGGAGGGACAGACCCGAAGGTGGCAATACATTACCCCTTGTTCTTGACAGATCTGTGTCAGCCTCTCCAGCTGCTCGTCCTGGATGACCTTGGCCTTCTCGTACTGCTGGATGACCACCTCCATCTCCATCTTCACGGGCAGGACGTAGGCTGGAAGACAGACAGCCCAGTTAGAAACTTGGCAGCAGGGGGCTGTCCTGGGAGGGGCGGATGGCAGCACCTGGCCAGCAGCGGGTTTCACGCCAGGCGCAGTCCCTGGAGGGCCTGGGGGTGGACGTATCCAGAGGCAGAGATGCCTTTCATGTGTGTCTGCGTACGCGGCTGCCTGGAGTAAGGTCTCCAGGCTTCTCTGAGCTTTGGTGACCCGTGGCCCCCACCGGGACCATGGCTGCAAGGAAATGCCGTAACTTCAAGAAGGCTTTCTTGAAAGGTGAGCACGGGAAGAGGAGGAAGAAGAGAGACACTCTCACACATGGCCACTGGAGACGGAAAATGGGGCGGCCACTCTGGAAAACAACTTGGCAGTTCTTCAAAATGCTCGGCCCAGCAATTAAACTCACATCCACACAGAAAACTTGCACACAAGTGCTCACAGCAGCCCGGAGTGGAGACAACCTCCGTGCCCATGGAGGGATGAGCGGATGGAGAAAGCGCGGAGGAGCTGCTCGGCGGAATACTACTTGACAGTAAAAAGGGACGAAGGGCTGATTTACGTCACAACATGAGCGGACATTGAAAACACTTGTTCCATGAAAGAAAGGCAGGTGCAAAAGCCCACAGACATAATTCCAGCTGTACGCAATGTCCAGGCCGGGCAAGTCTGCAGGGATGAAAGGTTAGTGGCCGCCTAGGGCTGAGGGGGAAGGGGGGTGATCCCGAATGCGAACGCAAAGTCAGTTTTCCCTTTTGGGGAGATGAAGACGCTTTGTACTGAGATCTGGGAGATGATTCCATAACTCTTCGAATAACTCTTAACTCAGCAAGAACTACTGAGTTACGTACTTTTCATGGTCAAGTTTTATGGTGTGCGAATTACGCATCAACAAAGATGTTTAAGAAGAAAAGGAAGTTGGGGCCTTCCTTTCGCCTCTTTCTCTTCTTTCTCCCTTACTTCTTTCCACCGGCTGGAATGCAGATGTGATGGCTGGCATGGGGGCGGTCACCCTGACCCCTAAGGCGACTGGCAAGTAGGTTACATGAAACAGAGCAGCAGAACAGAAGGAGCCCGGGATGCAGACTACGGGGTGTGATATCAGCTCTGGAGGGCCACCTGCAGACTTTCATGTGAGGAAAATAAGCTGTTGTTTTGTTGCAGTTGCTGTTATTCTGAGTCTGTTACTCAGAGATGCAGCGAGAACCTGGACTCTGTGTGGAAGGGCGGCATGACCTCCTGGCTGGAGGCAGCCCCCGGGCCTTCCCCTGGGTACTTCTCTAGTATCAACACCCGACCTTCTTCTGGCCTCTGCCCTGCACACTCAGGACCCAGCCCTCCTAGACTCCTCGGGAACACTCACATGCCTCTCTCGCCACTGTCATCGAGACCTCTCTACAGTTCCACTCTAAAGGTCACTCTCCACCCACAGCCTCCTGGCCTCCAGATGTTGTCTAGCTGCAGGGGACATGCAGAGAAGAGAAAGCAGGATTTTTCTGTCTGCGTCCGACCTGGAGGGCAGCCCACATATCCCTGAGATCCATCCCTGACCCCAGAGGCTGCTCCATGTGGCGGCTGGAGCCGGTGCAGTCAGGGCAAGCGCAGCCAATCCACACCCATTCTTAACCCTGCACGTCCTCTCGTGAGGCTCCCCGTGGCCCAGCAGGGCCTGGTGTATCAGGAAAAACGGGGGACAGCTGGAAACAGCATTCAAGTGGGGCTGTCACCCCCGTCTGCGTGAGGGTGTCCAGCTGTCCAGGGCTGGCAGAGGAGAGCGGCTGCTCTTCCTGCCCCAAAGGGCAGGATGTTCCCACGGACGGAGCCAAGAGCGGACCCAAGCAGGTGGGGGGTGCTGCTGGGTGTCAGGGTCTTGGGCGCCACACTGGCCCAGATCAGGGTCTGCTGTGTGACCCTCGTCTTTCCTGGCCTCGGTTTTACCATCTGTCACAGGAGAGGAAGGGACCAGGTCACCTCCCAGAGTCTTCCTGTGGGGCTCCCGAAGATGGGTCCAACCACAGTCTAGTTGGATGAAGCGATGGATTAGGGGCTCCCCAATGGCATGTCAAACCCCACAGGGTGGGACTTGGGGTGGGGAACAGGGTGAGGATGCTGAGTCCAAGGGGTGAGAGACCCCAGTCGCCATCCTTCTACCTCACATCCCTTGGCTGTTGACGCACAACTGCTTCACCTGCCACCCACACTCGGGTGGAGAGGTCTCAGCCGCCTATCCCTGTGCTAGAAACGGGCTCCTTGGGGGAGGAGGGAGAGCGCAGAGGTGGGCTTGAGGGCCCCTCACTTCCAGTCAACTGAAGCAGCTCCACTCTCAACAGCTTCTCACATGGGGTATATCTGCCCATGATTCTGTGGAAGAAAGGGCTTTACTGCTTTAAGAAAGAACAAAATAAATAAATAAATAAATAAAGCTGAAGACCATCATCTATGTGGCGTCCTAATCTCCCTGACATGCCTTGCCCCATGAGACCACATGGCCTCTGTGCCCAGTTGGCTGAGGTGAGCTCAGCCTCCTTGTCACATCCTCAGGAGCCCAAGGATGGCCCCTGAAGCCCAGTGACTTGGTTCTTCTCTCCATCCCAGATGCCTCCCCTTGTCCTTGTCTTCCAGGCCTCCCCACAGCAGTACCCAGTGCCATTCTTCATGACTGAAGCTTCCAGTTCCCTCCCAACCGGTCTCCCTGTTTGATGGGACACTGGTCTGTGATCACATTCTGGAAATGCATGCACTGGTCAAGCCGGGGCACAGCTCTCCAACGACGTGGCTCAGTGGGGAGGGTGGCCTGTGCTTCTGAAGAACAGAGCAGGTGCTCTGGGGGCAGAGACCAGGGAGGTGTATGTGCCACAACAGGTGAATGGGTGGCTAAACCCCAGTACCACAGAAATACTCTCCAGCTGTTCACAGGCTGAGAGACTTGGAGGGCATCCAGCTTGTCCTGGGTGGATGCAGAGGTAAGATGGCTTGAGGTCAAATGGGTAAATTTACAGGACCAGGAAGCAAGTGGCAGCTGTAACTGACACACTCACGGTGTATAACACGAAAACACAAACTCAAAGAGACATCTGCACCCCGTGTTCATAACAGCACTATTCACAAGAGCCAGAGTTAGAAACAACCCATCAACAGATGATCGGATAAAGATGTGGTGGTGGTGTATTTACACTATGGAATACTACTCAGTCATAAACAATAAATCAGACAGCGCAATAAATCAGACAGAGAAAGACAATAGAGAAAACAAAAGAATAAACTAAATAAAACAAAAGGAACTGTTATACTGTAAGACCAAATTAGTGGCCACCTAAGGAAAGGGAGCAGAGAGGCAGGCGAATTGGGTAAGAGGGGTCAAATGTATGGTAAAGGACAGGATATACACTTGTTGGTTTATAATGATGCACGCATGTAACTTTTATAATGTTATAATGCCATGTTACTTCAGTTAGAAAGAAAAACAGCTGGGATGTATACAGCTGGTCTTTCCAGAATGGCAGGGCTTGCTGTGCATGCTCCTTTCTGAGGCTGGTCTCCAGGCCACAATGATAGCTCTGCTGGAATGACCGTGTAGTCTCGAAACTGACCTCTTAATCTAGGCGGTTCCTGACAACGTGGCATCCAGAGAGCCTGCAGTCTGCTCCCTCCACCCCATGCTAACTGGTTGGTCTCCTGCAGCACATCGTCTCTCTCCGCTCTTGATTCATAGCTCTAGTTTCTGGGGTGAACTCTGCCATTCTGCCAGCCCTGCTGATCCCCTTGGGCCACTTACCATCAATGACCCTCTTCACCCGCCAGATCCGGAGCATAATAATGAGGCTGATGGCGTCCCAGGGGCTCCTGGGCCCGTTGGCCACAGTGGAAGCCACCATCGGGGCCAAGGACAGGATGATCACGGCCCCATCAAACACCTGTGAGAGGAGGTAGATTTCAGTGCCCTGGGGCCACTTCCCCGGATGTCCCAGAACCAGAGACCGGGTCAGGCAAAGCACCTGGTGCCGGTCACCCTCTCCTCCTGCCCCGTCAGGTCACTCCCTGAAATGACTCTCTTCAGTCTTTAGAGGACTTCCCTCTCCTCAGAGCTGCCCCAAGGCACTCTCTTCCTCAAGTGCCCTCAGTCCCTCTCCAGCCTTTGTGCAGGTGGCCTTGGCTTCTTCCAAGCATCTTTCCCATGTCTTGCCCTTTCTTGGTGGGCTCCGCAACCAGTGTCCCAGGGGCCCCACTGAGTCCTCCCTGGCAGTGTTGCTGAACTCATGCCAAGGGATCCCTTCTTCCCCTTGGGTCTCAGGAGCCCAGAGCTTCAGGTCTAGTTCATGCAAATCTCTAGCCCACAGGGAGGCGGGACAAGGAGTAGGACTAGTCCAGCCTGATTGTTCAGCCCTGGGCCCCGACCTTCTCTCTGCCTGCTCCAGCCTGGTCTTGATCTGAAAATCCAAGGGCCTATGGGCTACAAAGTGGCTGGGGGGGAAGGGGAGAGGTCAGAGTAGGCAGCAGACTCCAACTGCCTTCCCTTGTGCCATGTGTACAAAACTCCCGACAGCCAGGCCTCCTCTCCCCTCCCCCAACCCCTTTTACATGAAACCGAGCAGCTGGTTCATCTGCAGAAACCAGTGTGAAATGCACTTTCACAGTTTTCCACTCAGTTCTCCAGTCACTGGGTCATTTTAGAGTGGATTTGTTGTAAAACACATTTCAAAAGCTTTCGGAAATGATTCAAGAATAACTTAAAACTTTGCAGAACTTCAAGGAGATTTTTTTCAGACCAGCCCTTTGCTGGAAACTTTCTCAGTTTGTGTCCTCCTCTCAACCCACATGCACAGCTGAAGAGGTGCCTGCGCCAGTTGTGTGAAGGGGTCAGCCTTTTTCAACACCCAACCCTGGGGGGGATGAGGCAGCAGCGGTTTCCAGCTTCCAGGATGGCTGGTTTGGGGGTCGGGGTAGACATTGGCCATTGGCTTTTACCTCTATTTTGTTTTCGATGTAATCCCAGATCCCAAGCACCACAATTCGCAGAACAGTCTGAGGAGAGGAAGTGAGAAAAGAGATTTGGTTATCACTCACCAGTCCCTGCCCTGTCCCCCAAAATTTGGAGCTCTGTTTGTTCTATGACGGGAAAACATCTTCGCCATCCCAGACCACATGTCTGCATTACCATCTGCGCCAGCACCTCGCTCATAAGCCTTCGGAGCTCCTGGTTCCTACAGAACATACCCACATCCTGTGGAATAATATTCAAGACCCTGCTTCTCTCTTCAGAGTCAAGTCTCACTCTCTTGCCGTGGCACAAATCACTGGCACACACAGAACCATATGGAGCGCATGTCCTCCGCCGTGTGGCCAGGACTGCCCGTGACTCTCCTCTGATTTCTCTTCTCTCCTTCTTATACCATAATTGGAGCTGCTGCCTGGTCATCCAGCTGAAGACGACATTTCCCAACCTTCCTTGCGTCTGGGATCAGCCATGTGACCAAGCTCTGGCTAACAGCACGTGAGGAGAAGCTCTGTGCACCACTTCTCAGTTGTGCCCTTCAAAGGATTAAACTCTGCTTCTTCTTTCCCTCTTCCCAAAGACTAGCACCCGGGTGCACAGGTGTGATGGTTAGCCACACTCAACAGAGGCGGGCTGAATAAGATGGAAGTGTGCTGGGCCTCCAGCGGCCCCAAGTCACTGTGACTGCCTCACTGCTTCCCCGACCTGTCCTGCCCCAAGAGAGAAACGAACTATGCCTTGTTAAACCCCGTGCTTTGGGACTTCTTGTTACAGTAGCTTGGCTGTGTGCTAAGCCGGCAAGCCCTGCCCCCCACCCCTTTCTCTATGTGGCACAGGCCTTCCTGTCCTTCTGGCCTGGACTCAGATGGCACCTCCATGGAGCTTTTGTGCACTCCCAGGCTTGGGGCTTCTTCCCTGGCTGTTGCTATAGCTCTTGAAACATCCCCCTTCCACTTCAAGACCACCCAACTAAGGCTCAAGAGACACTGTTTGACTTCTCCCCTTCTTCAGCCCTTTTGCTGGCCACAGGGTAGACACTGATTGTGAATGAGCACCCACACAGGCCCATGAATGGCTAAATCCTAAAACCTCAGTACTCTGTTTTCCAGAGACGCTTCCTCACCAAGAGTACATCTTTCTTCAAAGAGGGTCCTTGTAAGCTGGTCTCACATGCTCCTGGCATATGTCTGCAGACCCTAACTAGAGCCAGGGGACTAATTCACCAGATGGAGTCCCTTCTCCCTCATGCTTGCAGCACAAGACCAGTTACCTGGCCTCGGCGACACGGCAGACATGGGCTCATGGGGGGTTCACCCACACTTTATACTACAAGGAAACCCGACTGATGAAATCCACCTCTTCCTCCTTAGGGGCCTTCCTGATTTCCATTAAGGGATGAGAAGGTGGGAGGCTGGAGACAGCAATCTGGGACAGAGAGAGATATGTGGCAGCCTGATATCTCCCCAGAGATGACTCCCCAATCTCTTGGGTGGGACCCAGGCTTAACTGCAAGACAACTCTGTGGGGATGGAGAGAGAGCTGGGGCAGGGGCTCAGATTCTTCAGGTCATAGCTGAGTCATGGGCTGGCAGTGTGGCCACGGGCAAGTCAAATTTCCTCTCTGGGCTCGGTTTCTCCTGATGAAATGGGTTAAATCGTGGAGAGACGGGTTAAATGACAGGAACCTGCTAGTTCTTTATGAGACTAAGGTCTGCCTTCTAGTATACACGGGTAGGTATCAACACTGGGCTGCACGATCCCCATTCTGCACAGAGGAGTGGAGGCTGATCAAGGTGACACAGCAGTGGGTGGGGACATCAGCCATTGGACACAGAGGTTTTCGACTGCCTGGTGGAGTCATGTTGGGTAAGAACACGCATATTGTTCTGGTTTGTTTTGCAGCTGTTCAATCCAGCTAATTGTGCTGACCTCAAAACTTGGTGTTTGTCTCCTCTGGAATGTTATACCCACCATGTCCACCCCAAATTCCCAATTCTGGGGCTCCCAAACCAAAAATTGCAGGATAGGGCTGCAGGACACATGGTCTGGTCCAAACATGATTTCTGTTACTGCTTGTCCTTCTCTTTCTTTGTGTAAAATTGTGATGAAATACATATAACATGAACTTTACCATATTAACCTTTCCATGAGTGAACTGTGGCGCGAAGTATACTCACACTGACATGCACCCATCACCATCACTCACTTCCAGAACCTTTTCTTTGTCCCACACTGAAACTGTCCCCATTAAACATTAACTCCCCACCCTGTGCGCCCTAGTCCCTGGCACCCACCATTCTACTCTCTCTCTCTCTCTCTCTGAGGTTGACCGCCCTAGGAATCTCACCTGAAAGGCATCATGCTGCTTCTTTATAAACAAAGCTTAGCTTTAAAGGCTCATGGGTGTGAGGTGGGGGGATAAGGGAGTCAGTCAAGGGACTGGAATAGAATGTGGAGCCTCAGTGTGCTGGGGAGGGTGGAGATAAGATGTGTTTATTGGGGGGCAAGGCACCAGGCAAGTGAGCGATCAGCAGGAGCACTGGTGGGCCATTCCCAAGAGCCCCATCCCCCTGGGCACCACCCAAGCCCCCCATCCTTTCCTAGCCCAGCTCTGAAAGGCCCTGCTCAGTGGCTTGTTCCTTGCAGCACCCTTGGCTGAGACCCCCTGTCCATGGAGGCAGCGATTTGGCCACAGCTTCCTGCCACTTCAGGGCACCCAGCATGCGCCTCCCCCTCTGACTGCTTGTGCTTCTCAGTACAGGCCAGGGAGCCTGCTTCTGCCACTTCTGGGGGAGTTGCTCAAAATGCAGATTCCTGGATTCTTATGGAGACCCAGGATAGCAGTCTCTGGTGCAGGGCCCAGGAATATGCCTTTTTAACATGTTCCTGAGGGCACCTAACAGTCGGTGGGATACACTACGGTCCAACAGAGAGTGTTAAGATTTGAGTCAGTCTCCAGGCCTTTTGGGGCCTGACTCTCCCTTACTAACTAGTGACACGTGTCAGACTCCTCCCAGATCAGGCACAGCGGACCCACACTGCCTGCCTCGCTGCACAAAGACACAACCCAGCACTCCTGGGAGTTGCTTTGTGAGCATGAGCGCAGGCGATGGGGAGACCAGGGCTGCAAGGGCTGGCGGAGGGCCTTCGAGGAACAGGACAACTCAGCTTAGCTGCCCTTTCCATGTGGGAAGAATCAAGCCTCCCTCATTTTGACTGTGGCTTCAGGAGATGAGGATGCTTGGACCCTCAGGATAGAGTTCTTGGATAAGCCAGGGAGTTGGCACCATTTTAACCTTTCCATGAGTGAACTGTGGCGCTAAGTATACTCACACTGACATGCACCCATCACCACCACTCACTTCCAGAACCTTTTCTTTGTCCCACACTGAAACTGTCCCCATTAAACATTAACTCCCACCCTGTGCAGAAACTGAGGCCCATAGAGGGCCGGGCAAAACCTTCCTTCCCCCACCTTGAACCTCATCTTCTCCCTCAGAAGCGACTCCCCTCACTCCTCCTAAGAGTCAGGGTTTGGGCTCTGGCTGCAGGAGAGGGTGGGAAGTCCTGGCTCCTTCTCTGCTCCCAGCCCACCTCAGTCAAATGGCAGCAGGTCCTGTGCCCTGACCCCTCAGGGGAACCACCCTCTATCCCTGGGATGGGGCCTGAGTAGACCTTAGGGTTAGGAACCTGGGAGACTGGACAGAAGCACCTTCTTGTCTGTGAGATGTCTCTGCACTCCTGGCTTTGTTCGGTGAGCCCAGTGGAGGCTTGGCACCCTTACTCCCCACAGAGCCGGCCCCAAAGCGGGGCCCACCAGTCAGGGAGAAGGGAGCAGCGTGAGTCCAGCTCTGAGTCTGTGCCCCAAGCGCTTGTGCTGGCAGCCTGGGGAGGGGTGGGGCTGGCTCTAGAGCAGCGGCTTGGAAGCACCCACCAAGGGGGCCAGAAGCCAAACGTGCTCTCGGGCACATTTTCACTACCAATATGGGTGCCGGCCCCTCTCCCAAATCATCCTCTCCCCCACACCCTCTCCACCCAGGAGCAGCAAGAGGAAGACAGAGTCCAGGCTCCAGTAATGAGGAAAAAGTAAGGAATGTGAGAACCCTTGTGAGAGCTTGACGCAGTCTCCAACTGGCATGTAAAGGTTTGTGGGTAATAGAGCAGTTGAGGGGTGGTCTTGATAGGGAAGGACGCAGCCTGGGCTGAACTTGGCTGGCAGTGGCCCTGGCTTGGCACGGGGCTCAGCAGACCTGCTCCCTGGGGAGCCGGCAAGGCCCAGGACCCATCCTGAGAGGCAGCGCTGGGGAGAGGGGGGCAGTTCTACCGGGGTCAGCAGTGCTAAGGCAGGAGCAAAGCAAAGGTGACCCAGAGAGCTGGCCTCGCCTGCAGTGGTCTGAGGTGTACCCTGACCAATGCAGCGGCCGATGCCCCCAGGGGCCCGGGCTCATAGCAGAGACTGCTCAGTCTCTCTCTGGTGTGGGGTTCATCGGACAGCACGTTCCCAGCCTTGTTAAAAAAAAAAAAAAGGGGGGCTCCAGGAAGCAGGGGATGGGGATATGACCACAAATCAAATAGCTCAGTGGTGGGAAGAAAGGGGTGCCTTAAAAGATTCACTACGTTTTTTGGTGTGCGTCAACTATTTCCTAAAAACAAACACAGAAAACACATGCAGAATCCCCCTAAATATGTTCTGGCAAAGAATGTGCACTGACATGGAGAGGCGTGTACAAAATATGAATGGCCAGAAAGAAAAGCAGGTTCCAGAATATTGGATCCACCGTGACCCCTTTTTCTGAGGGAAAGGGTGTGCCCATATACACACGGCAGTGAAAAGACTCGCTGGACGCAGACCAACCAGCAGGGGTGTCTGCAGGTGATGAGGACATGGGCAGAGTTCTCTCTGAAAACACGATTGCGCGTTGATCCATCGGGTGAGTGTTTGCAGCCTCGTGCTCCCCCTGCTGTGTGTGAGGCAGTGGAGTCACCAGGGAGCCCGCCTGTGGACTGTCACCGCCCAGCCCCCTCCACTG